GATTGATTCCTTAATTTTGAAAGAAATGACAATGCTGACATTTGGACAACTTTTTAATTTCTTCAGCCAAAACCACATTTTTGGCAAAGCAGCTCTGTCATCCTGTCACTGAGGATCTAATTATACTAGTACTTTTTCTCTGATTTCACACCCCCCTTTCCCTTGATTATTACCATTGCATCAGTTCCACTGGCAATAACAATGGTGGATGTAATCAATTAGACCAGTAAGTCCCAGGCTGTTCAGGCCCAAACTCTAATATTTTGGCAGTAAGAAGTCATTATAGTGGAAGGCTAGCAGAAGATCAAATTATCTAAAGATAATGTTCCTCCTGCATTTTTAGAGGTCTGTGAAAAGAATGAAAGGGCAAAAGCATTAAATAGAAAGGAGGTAATTAGAATAACCAATTATATTTTGTGCCAGTGCTGTCTGGAAAATTCAGGGAGAAAATATCCTGCTAGATTAGCAACAAAAAATCTCTATCTGGGTATCCTGGTGCTTTTCAAGATATAATCAGTGGGATGAACATAATATCTGGATATCATTCCCTTCATGTGTAAATAAAATGAAGGATGTACAATTAGGGTGGAAATAGGAACTTAATTACACCGGAAACTTATTGTTGAGGATTAGGCTGCAGAAGGTGGGGGGGGAATTACATTACTTTTTACAATTTAAAATAACTAGATTATTTTTTTTTTCCAGAGGCTGAATAAATGAAAAAAAAGGAGAAACATTTCTCCAGTTAACTTTTCCAGACCTAAAATTGTGAATAAACAGATTGAGGCCATTTATAGTCTATGCCAAAATTAAAGTGATCAGGCATGGTAATCTTGCTGTTAAATCTAGGGTGTAATGTTTTGGGTATATTTGGCAATTTAAAACTTGTAGCACTGCCTCCATGCTTTTGAAGTACTTCTATACTTTAAGTTATGATCACCAGAGGAAGATGACATATGATTTATGAGGGGAAAGTTATTTCAAGTGACTTTTACTAAGTCAAGAGTAATTTCAAGCAGATGAGAGCTATTGAGAAAACATTATTTTCTGTTTAGGTGACCTATGAATAAACTCATATTGGAAAATCCTTAACTACTGTTACTCTCTCTCTTTCCCTAGACACCCAGCTCACATTTTCGTTGGGGTGTTAGTGGGTAAATTCCCATTTTTGGTAGGGGTCAAGCAGCTTTTTCAAGCAAATCCCAGAACTGAAAATATTTGAACAAAATTTCCTTTCCTTAATCTGTGGTCCAATGCAGAGAAACTATACTAAGGGGAAGATTGTAATTAGACTTTGCTGGACTGCCATGGAGAGAGGCCACAAAGAGACTCTTTCACTATGCTTTTCCTGAAGTGACTCCTTATTTATTTTGTGCCAGGTGTTAAAGGCACTGTCTAGTTCTGGGTATCTTAATGGTATAGAACAAAGATAGACAGGTGGGGTAAAGACCTCGCTAAAAGAATTTGGAGGCACCTCCTTACCTAGGATTAGTTTTTCTAAAATATTTACCCTATATGAAGGTTAATTATTAAAGGAAAACTGTTGATTCTTTAGAATAATAATTTAACACAATCCACAAGGGGGTTAAACTCCATCAGAAGTGTGAGAAATCCTTCCCCAACTCCTAATTCTTATCTTAAATTGATATCAGTTTTCAACACTGGGCTCCTGAGAGCATTTTTTGCAGGCTGCTGCAGTAAGCCTGTAGACACTTTCACATAAGTTAGTTAGAGCTTTTTATGAGCAATAATTATCAATGGCCACATGATAAATATGCCTTGTATCTGTCCTTTCCCAGTAAGGAGGAAATGCTGAATAATGTCAGGAAAAAGATGCCATCTTCTCAAATTACAAGATGAACTCGTTCTATGTTCTAATGCTAGGGAGCCCCTGAATGGCAAGAAAGGATATAGCATCATTTTGACATTATTCTTCTTGTGGTCTTATGCACGTAGACACACACTCTGTCTCTCTCTGTACCCCCTACATATTTATATCTATATGTAGAAGGAGAGTTGTATGAATCTTTCTATGGGTATTATCTTATCTTAGCTCCATCTATAGATATATATAGATCTATGCATATATCTGTTAGGGCTTCAGTTGCTCATTTGATTCGGTGGAGACCGTTTAATCTCTGTGAATCAAACTGGAATGCTCCAAATCGATTTGGGGAGATTCGATGTTTTGGACATAGACAGAGCTTTAAATGTTTTTTTTCTACATACCTTAAGGTACCGGGTGGCTTGTGAATGCTGAGATCTTAGTGTGGATGGAGCATCCTATGGGAGCATGGGTGGAGTGCCAGCATGCTCGGTGCTGGACCTAGAAGTGGACCAGAAGCATTTCCGGTCCACTTCTGGGTCCACCGCCAAGCACATACCCTGCCCCCACCCTGCACTCTTATGGGATGCTCCATCCGTCCCACCATTGCAGCATTCACAAGCTGTGCCTGGTACCTTGAGGTACACAGAAAAAACATTTAAAGCTGTGTCTATGGCCAAATAGCAGCCTTCCCAGGGGTGCCGGTGGGTCCCCAATCTGCCTGCTGGCTGATAGGAGAGGGCTGATGCCGCCTGGGCCAGCAGGGCTGAGGCAGATCATCTTGGGTGGGGGAGGGTCCCCACACCAGCTGATCTGCCCCAGGCTCTGCACCCTCCTGGAACCGGCTCTGGTACAGTGCCAGGGCAGATCAGCTCGTGTGGGGACCTGCCAACCCAGGGTGAGGTACGGTCCCCACACCAACTGATGATCTGGCCCAGGCCTTGCACCCACCTGGATCTGGCTCCAGTATGGGGCCGGGGCAGATCAGCTCATGTGGGGACCCAACGCCCCCATCCCAGGGCACGGAGTGTCCCCGCATGAGCTGATCTGCCCCAGGCCCTACCAGAGCCAGCTCCAGGTGGGAGGCCTGGGGTAGATCAGCTGGTGCAGGGACCCCAGGATCAGGGCATCAGGTCCCCACACAAGCTGATCTGCCCTGGGCTCCGCTGGTCCCAGGTGGCAGTATCCACCTCCTGCCAGCCAGCAGACAGATCAGGGACCACCGGTACCCCTGGGAGGGCTGTGGGAGCTGTTCCAGAGTCCTCCCAGGGCTTCCAATCTGCCTGCTGGGTGCTGCTGCCTGGGGCCAGTGCTGGGGTGCAGGCTGTGCCCAGCACCAATCTGTCATCTTGCATGTAGATCGAGGGCCCACAGCCCTCCCAGGGTTATGGGGAACTCCCAATCTGCCTGCTAGATGACAGGAGGTGGGTGCTGCCAGTTGGGACCAGCACCGAAGCCAGTAAGCCTGGCTTTGAAATTCAAAATGTTGCAAAACTTTTTAAATGTTTTGAGTTCCCTTGTTTTGTTTCAAAGCTGTTTCAAAGGCTTTTGTTTTGTTTCAATTTTGCTGTTTCAAGCTCGAAATGCATTGAAACAACTTTGAAACAAAACACTAGGTGAAGTTTTGTACAGCCCTACTCAAAAGTAAAGCAGCACAGTCTGCAAGTATGCTGGTATTAGAGAGCATTAAATTAACTGTAAGATAGTCGGGGACCATACTATCCTACCAAGGAGTAATTTACTCTACCAAAACTCATGTGTAGATGGTGACAGGGGCTGGCTGGGGTATGTGTTCTATGTGTGGAGGCTGCCTGCCATCTAGCCCTGCACTGTAGCACCCTCATGACCCAGCCAGGCTCCCTGTCAACTGGTGCCGACCCAGAGCCTGAGGCTGACTCCCCGGTCTTCTGCTAGCCTGGGGCTTTTCACCTGGCTCAAACTGCTGCAGTTCTGGGCACGCATGCAGACACTGTGCCCAAGAGTAGATAACTCCATCATGGACTGTGTTGGAATTTATCACATCACCTCAATAACACATGTAGATGCATCCACTGTTTTCTAATGGTTAATGTAGGTTATTTTTAGGTGAAAAATTAAACTGTTAGGCTTGTGTCTTCATTTACTGATTTACTGTAATTTGCTACATTTTTTCATTTAATTTAGCAATGTTATTACTGTATGTTAGTGAAATTGACTTCATTATAAATGACTAATAGAAATGATAGATGATTCCAGGGACTGGCAATTTTTTACAGGTGTGGGCTGCAGCTTGTGACCTGTTCAACACTATGGACTACTGGTCCTTTCTGGCCACTTCAGTGAAGTTGACTATAGACTGCAGTAAGGAAGAACAGCCTTCCAAACAGGTGGAAGAGGATGGATGGAGCATCCAGGGGTGATTGGTATGCCATTAGCACTATGTAGACTGGAGTAGATTGCTAGGAATTAGTGCACCTTTAGTAAAATGTTCACAAGCCAGATCTGTCCCATGGGCTGTAGGTTGCCAACTCCTTATGTATCTGACTGCTGTGTGTAGATCTAGAACTTCTCCCTTTTCTTCAAAATATCAAGCTGCTGTTTTTGTAAATCTTACATTAACATATGTGGGAGTTCCATTGCATCATAAGGATATTCGAGAGAGTTGAAATTTGGCTCCTGACCTTAGCCTAAACTCAGCCTAAAGCCAAACTAAAGGTCAACTGAGTATTGAAAAATGGAAATAGTTCTTTTTTTTTTTAATTTTTTTTATAAATCTCTGTTTCTTTATTCTAGCCAGGACAAAAATGTGCAGGCTTTCAACATTATTTTACATATTTCAAATCATTATTATGTCACAGAAATTTATATAAATACCCAAAAGGAAAAGAAATTATCTAACCATGGTAATGTAGTGCTTTATACGTGATTTACTGAATAAAATGGTCTGCAATATTTGGCTATTGAGTCCCTTCCAATAAATAAGACACTTTGTATTTTATACTACTAGGGCCAAATCCTGGTTTCCTTGTCCATGCAAAGTTTTGCTGAATTCAGTAGGAGTTAAGATTTAAGGTTTTTCGTCCTTGCATATGCTGAAATATGTGTGACAAACTTCTGAGTAACCTAAGAAATGAACAAACAAAGCAAAATGTAAAATCAAATATACATTTTTCTAGTAGAGTAAACATACATTTACCTGTCCTGCCTTTGCATTTTCACAAACAAATGTTTCATAGTATTTGGCAAATTCTGGTGCATGGTCATTTATGTCTAAAATCCTGATGAAAACAGATATTTGGCTGCTTTGCTTAGGATTATCTGGAATGAGACAACAATTCTCAGTTCATCTAAAGACAAAAATCTGGTATCATATCCGTAATTTTAAAGGTATAATGATATTCAACTTTCTATGGATGTATATTGAATATATTTTAAGGCTGTGTTTATTTGAAACAGGTTGCATTATTTTAAATGAAAAAAATGATAAAACCATCTGAGACTAAACTGACTCTCAAAGTTACCTATGAATCCATCTCAAGTGTTAATGCCTACTTTCTGTGTTGCTCAGAGCAGTGCTTAATAGCCTATGTTAAGGTGTAGGGGACAGAGAAATTGCCTGGGTTAATTCAAAGCTCTTTCTAATTACAAAGGCAAGAAGTTTGCCTTTGACACTTTTGTCATTGATATGCATCAGAAGTAACCTCATAGTCTGAGCTATAGCAAATGAAAAAAGGTTTGCAGAGCAAATGTCAACAACTGGGACAGTGTTTAAAGAAAATTCCTTGCTTATCGGGGGAAAAAAATATGCGTATCTCTGAATGCACGGCTTGTGCTGTATCTGTCTAGCACAATGGCAAGCTTTATGGCTTCGCAAAGCTGCTAGGGAGGAGGAGGAAAAAATGGGCTTATAGAGCCCATCACTAATATCTCAGTGCTCTCTGTGGTGCACTGGAAAAAAATGAAAATGGCTGTATCTATGTAAACCTAATAAGGCTCAATGAAGCAATAAAGGTATCAATTGAAAGACACAGAATCACATTCTTTAGCCTGCCTGGAGGAGAAAGATGTGCCATACCTTCATTCGGTGCAAAGCAGGGGGCTCTGAATTTGTCTCCTGAAGGCAATTTTTGCCCCTGGTCTGAAAAACTTATTAAGACTTTTGGGGGTATTTGAATGCTGCTCCACTTTTTTCCAGCAATTCTCCCTGTACAGGGACTGAGGGAGTGGTGTAGTGTGAAATGCTGTCTCTGGATCAATCCATGGAAGAAGATTCCATGGGAACCAGTCATATGGGCTTTATGGCTGCTCTGCATAGCTGTAATGGACTTAAGGCTATAATTCTTTCATTTTGTCTGTAGGCAAGAGAAAGTAAACATAGTAATCTTTTTTTCTTCAAAAATATGTCTGAGTGTTCTAGTTCAATAGCATGTTGATTTGTTTGATTGTAAAACTGAGAGAGCAATAAAGGCAAATCTTGTAAAACAATTAAAACATATAATATATTATAGAATTGCAACATTTTGGGTTGCAACCTTTTTTAAGGTATTTCCAACTTACTAATTTCAGTTGCTATAACAGTGATGTTGTGCCATGGAGTTTCCTCCCGGTCTAGTGACTTTGAGATGAATATGGATCCATTTCCTGAGTGGATATTGAATATTCTGTCAAGGTCAGTGTGTCGATCCACAGAATATCTGTAGGGATATAGTTTGACTGTATATCATAATCCTTATTATATTTTCAGCTTTGATTCCTAGTCACTCTTCAATGTTTTTCCATTCTGCTTTAAGTTATTACCTTAACATCTGTAGTACTTTATCACCAAAGCTTCCCTGTAATTATTATAGGGAATAATTAGTGCAGAATACTGCAAATATTCAGGTGAAGTTATTTAAGACCAGTGACAGGACCAGAGTAGTAAGTCCTTACAGACAGCTAATTAATATGAATAATTACTCAAAATATATTTTACCTTAGAGATATATAAAACAATGCTGGAATAACAGCCAGTTAATTCAGAAGGAACTACCTAAGCAAACATGGGTGCCTCTTGTGTCATGGGCACTGAACTTGAGATACTATAAAGGGGCCTGAGTTTCAGAAACAGCTGAACATTCACCCTCTAAAAATCTTTGATGTGTCCCTGGTTAAAATCACTAGAAAATATTTGTAGTGTCTTAATTTTTAATTTAGAGAACTGAAACTGCATCAAAACCTTAGTATTAAAGCACATTTGCATTTCTTTATTTATCTTTTTTATTTCAAAAAGAAGTGTAACTTATACGGCCCTTCTGATTTATTGAATGTTGTACATGCAATTTATTTAAAAATGTCCAGTTATAGAGAAAATAGCACTTGGAGTAAATAGGTCTGTTTGAGTTACTTTCACCTTCATTCAGACATATAGCTGAAGGATTTGAGTTTTATAATGACTTGCATAGAGAATACGCTAATGTACTAATGTTCAGTGCTTTCATGTCAGCCTAGATAATAATAGCAGATGGCTAACCATTACAGCGAATGCACATCACTGAACATTTACCTCTAATTGTTATGACTTTCTCACAGTACTTTCTTATTTAATATACTGTACAAATGTTGATAATTAAATATTTAAGCTGTAGAACATAGAAGGCAGTATATCTCTAGGGAGTAATTTTCTCATTGGGCCTATTGCAAGGTATACTGCAGAAAGCCGAGTGTCATCAACCTATAGGAAGGGATATTCATCCAATGGAAATATACTGTCTTCAGAATTTTGCATGAATTCATTTTTTGGAAATGTGGTATGAAAGCATTATCCTAAATGTGGTTGGACTAAGAGTGTTGTAAGGTAATGATTACTTATTTTTATCATCCATATGTATTTCCTTTTATCTGATACCTGTAATCTTTCATTCAAAACATATATAGGAATTTTTAGTTGTATTAGCCATCACTGGTTCTCTGTAGATATTTGTCTGCTTAATTATTTCCACTTAACCACTATGAGCCTAATGCTGCAAAGGTTGCTCCTAAATTTCTGTGGGACTCTTCGGGAGCTAAAGCTGTTCATCACTGCTTAGAATCAGACCCTCTGCTATATACTTATCACATTTTCACACCAAGATGAAACTAGTGTTTACTTTCTTTAGAGACCGATACTTACTTTATTGCGTTCTTTGTGGTGTCTGGATCTTGAGCTATCACTTGCCCAATAATGCTTCCCTCCTTGGCATCTTCATCTACTTCAATTAAATAGGAGGCTCTACTGAACACTGGTGGTTCGTCTATATCTTCCACAGAAATTTTGACCAGGGCTGTATCCTTGAATGGTCCCAGCTGCAAAAAGCGTGGGTCAGGATGACTATTGGCTGCCTCCACTCTTAAGGTGTAAAGCATCTTGTTTTCAAAATCCAACTGCTAGGGAGCAAGTTAATAAAATAAAATATAAAATAGGCATCACATAAAGAGAAATGCATTTACACTTCACAAACTAAAAATTAATAGGGGTAGGAGTTTTTAGAGACCAGAATTTACATCTGTGAGACCAACTATGTCTATAGACAAGCATTCAGTTCATTAACTACAGGAGTATAAAGCTGATTATATTCTGTGGCAGGGCTTTTTCTGGTACCACAGGTCTGAGATCTCTAGTCAATGTGAACTTAAACTGGGCTTCTGAAAACAGCACTGAAACTAGAAAGGATGTCTGTTTCAGTCAGCAGCTGTCAGGGGAGCCATAAAACATTTGAATTAAATAAAAGCAAATCTTGAAATACTGAAATATCCTGTTAATTGGAGATGCTGAGCTTTGGCTTACTCTGGAATGAGGCAACAATTCTCAATTCATCTGTTGACAAAAATATGTGCATCATATCTGTAATTGCCCTGAAAAAGAGGGTAAACTTAAAGTATTTCTTTTGGGATGAAAAAATGAAAGATATAGAAGAAATGTAGAAAGTAAAGTCTAGGTAACCTTCACATTAAATGCTTTTCAAACATGAATGGGGTGGGGGAGGAAGGGGAGGGAAGAGTCGCTACGTTTTCAGGAACATTTCCCTGGATTTAGGCGCAGCTGATGAATTGGTATGTATATTTTTACTTTTTATGTTGTATTTTTTAATTAATGATTTTAATGAAACTGTAATCTTTGTCTTTTTAAAAAAGAGAATTCTTTTCAAACCTGGCCTAGCAAGGCTTCCCCACCCCCCCGCCTTAAATCGGAAACAGTTTACATAGTTTCATGTGCCGTCAAGATCAAAGTAATAGGATCTATGTCTGCATGCAATTATGTATCCATGTGTAAGGTTTGGATTTGACGTAGGGTTCATGTGTTCATTAGAGAGTTAAGAGGAATGAATATATTTAGAGTTATTGCTTGAGTCCCATTTGATGTACCCCAGAAAGGCAGCATCAAACTCAAAAAAAGCTGTTAGTCTTAAAAACTGGTGCTCAGATAATATAAAAATAGTCTTCAGTCAGTTTGATGGACAAGTCAAGATTCTTTAGAATCGGTGATGGTTTGTAAATTCAATTTATTTCTCTCTTTCACCTTAGGATACCTGTTAACAACCAAGATAGCCTAAGGTTTGATTGAAACCAAGGCAGATTTTGAGAGTTAGAGGTTTGACTTGGATCTTTCGCACATCTGTAGCTAAGATTCCTCTGTGGAGGCACAAGCACACTTCAGAAGAATGAGCTATCTGCATGGGGTTCCTTTTAGTCGCATAAGTCCATCAAACTTAAACCTTCAGGCAAACTTGCAACATTGTGTTCACTACCAACTCTTGTGAGTCACCTTGCAGAGTTCAGCTGAAGAAGCTTGCTACGAGTTGAAACCCCTCCAGGATTTTGTGGCCCTAATTCAAACTGTTATGTGAGAGTGTGTTTGCATTTGACAGACTGCAGTCATGACAAATATTGCTTTACGTGAAGAAGCATGTTAGAAATTTTTCCCCGAGGGCTAGGAATAACAGACACCTGCTGAAGAAAGAGAACAAAACTTATACGGTAACTTCTTGGCAGCTGCCCCCCTTGTGAGACCTTCCCCTCCCCTTCCCCTAGAAAAGGAAAAAATAACTGTAACACCTGGAGTGCTAAGTATAATAAGAGAGAGGGAGGAAAAATAAACCTTTTTGACAGTTATAATCCCTTCCTGTGTGTCCTTGTCAGTGATGATATCAAACACATCTGATCCATCCCCATTAGAGATGCTGTACTCAATCTCAGCATTTTCACCCACATCGGGGTCATTGGCTTTTATTCTTCCAAGAGGAGTCCCAAGCGGTGCAGACTCAGGAGAGCTGAATTGGTACGTGCCTGGAAAAATCAAATCAAACTTTTTTTTCCTTGGTGTTTCATCTCTCTAAATAATAACAGTCCTTTCTTTTCTCTGGATTTTTTTCAAGTTGCCTTCAAAGTCAAAACACTTTAAGAGAACGCTCTTAGTAACCATGAGTAAGCTTTGAAACAGAGTTCAGAGTTGACTGTCAAACTGTCAGAAGTTGTTTTTTTACAAGGTAATACTTTAAAGACATTTAGTAAAGTATTTGTTATGCTCTTTTTAATACTCCTATTTTCCTCACATTTCAAGTATCATAATATGGCACTAACTGTTAATCTAATTATTTAATGGCAGTATTTTCCCATTTAGTTTTGTGTTTTCACTACCTATAATTAAATGATCTTTTTTCTTTTTTTCCCTTTTTATTTTTTCTCTTTTCTTTTCTTTTGTTCTCTGTTTAGTTTTTACTATACACAAGAGTTCTGAAAAATGACTGCATCTTGAGAAGAAACCATAGACAAAACCTTCTGTTTTGAAATTATCTTTGAGAATTACAATTGCATTTTGTATAGAGGTACTTTTATTAAGACTTTATTAGTAACATATACTATAGATCTATTCCAAGCAGCCTTTGAAAGCTGTTATAAGTGGATTCATGATGGCGTTCAGTGAAATTAAAAGAAATATGTTCAGGTCTTTGTATTAATTTACTTTGGTTATACTTGTTGTGTCCTTTTATGTTTGACTTTGATTAATATTGTTGTAATCAGGTTTTGCCAGCCTGGATGTGCATGACAAAGGAATTGTAACCTTATATATTTGAATATAACAATTAATCAAAATTTAATTTTCTGTCAGCTTTTGTTTTAAAAAAAATACCCCCCCCCGCCCCACTTAATTTTAAAGTTATGGTCCTATAGAGTAATATGACCATATGCCTCTCTTGACCAGTCACAACAGGCAATGTAGTCTGGATTTCAATTAATGACCTACAGAGTTAAAATAATATTGGCAAGTGGTTATTAGATACAAGAAAGTGTGAGGAATAGTGTTTTCAGAAGCTGCTGCAAAAAATGTTCTTTATTGTGTTTGAACAGTTAACTTAATAGTAACTCTTGGCCAAGCTGGAACATTTGAAAAATAGCCCTTACCAAGGGAATCTTATAAAGGTATGCCTTCCCAAGATGCACTTGATTTTGGACTATGTCTAAAGAAAGTGCAATCCTAACTCAACTAGTTTTGTTAGCTGAGGAATTGCATATCAGCCTAGCAGGGTCTAACCTACTTTCCCCAATGATGTATTTCCATGGCCTTTCTATTTTCTTTAGGAGCCAGTTCCTAAATTTCTGCAAGCACAATGATCATAGCAAGACTATGCATAGTAAATGAGTTTCTATCCCATGTTTTGTCACAGATTAGCCTACTGAAAGGATCTTTTCTATAACTATATAGATTTGTGAAAAATGAAGGAAAAAAGTTTGCCAAATAGTATGTTCCATTATGAACTCAAGCCTATAGCTGAAGACTTTGTGGTAGGCTGGTTAGCTGTGATCAAGTCAACTGTAAAAGACACACATTTCCCTTACAACAGGCTGAAAACAGTTTGGAAGTTAGGCCTAATGATATCTAACTATCAGTTCTGAAGACTTATTCAAACTTCTGGCTTTGGCAACTGAGCCAGAAATCCTCTAAAAAGAAATTTAATCATGATAGATTTTTTCTTTACAGTAAAAGTATAAAGATTAAAGAGAAACACCTCCCTTGGGTCATGTTAGCTTCTAAAAGTTTATTCTATAATTTAGGTGAGATCAGTGTTGGCATGTGACACAGCTACTTTGTTTTAGTGCACAATTCAGTTGCAAAAGTTTCTGTTTTTAGTTATGGTCTGGTATAATTAAATACCTTTCTCATTCCTGTCACTCAAACAGAATTCAGCCTTGGTGTTTTAGCTGTGTGGGGCCACTACACCTCTATGTGTGTGGCTCTGTGTGGGTGTGTGTCTGTCATACACACACACACACCTGCCCTTCCTCTTGTAGTCTAATTCACACAGGTTTCTTACTGAGTTTGTTCTCCATTCGTTGCTTTTTCACACTTCCTCTTCACGTTGGATCAAACTATTAGCTGTAACTTCTGCCTTGCATAAAGAGATAAAGATTAACTGTCTTTTAGAGAAGGCCTTAGAAGAGGTATGACTCTCTGAGAGATTTTAAAATTTCCCAGGAGATAAAAAAAATAACCATCATGGGGAAAAAGACAAAAAAGGAAGTGATCATCAGCAAAGGAAAAATAACACTACTGCATATAGCCCACAGAAAGCCTTCCATTTCCCATGTGAAGTGATCTGGTGAGGTTTAGGTAGTGTAGGGAGGGCATAGTGCCTCTCTACCCTGTTATGAATTTCACTCTAGTGACCCAACCCAAAGCTCACTGAAGTCATTCTAAGGATTTACATTCATTTCAGTGGACAAATCCTGAAAGAATCTTGAAAGAGCACCAGAATGAATATGGGTGTAAAGACTTCAGATCTCAGAGTTACGTTAGAAGTCTGTATATCCTCTATCATGAGACAGCGACTCAGTGGTCTGTTTTATAATACAAAACAATGATCTCTACTCTGCCTTTGGGTTCAACAACTGCAGTCTGTTTAAATATTATACCATGCTATGCTACTGATATGTAAGCAGTACTTTCTAAAGTACATGAATGGAAGTGTTCTGCTTTTAGTAATCATTGCCCTGAGGCTACCCCATGAAATGGCTCTTAATAAGAAAGATTATTTTATTATTTTAAATGTATTATTTTCTTTATATTTCACATTCTTTCTTGTTTTGGAAACCAATGTTCTCAACATTTTATTTATTTTCAAATAAACTGGTTTGTTCTTGTAAATAGAGAGAAACTGTTTGAAACTTCAAAAGATTTGTTTTCTAAAATACAACAGACAGACTGATTGTGTTGTTCTGGTTGCACTCATTGGCATGACATTCACATGCCTTACAAGTTTCATAAATCCAGACAGGTGCTCTCTACATTAGCCTTGATGTTTGTTCAGTCTTCAGTGTGTCTGATCAGAGTGCCAGCCAGTACTTCAGTTTGTGCCAATGGCAATACTAATTTAATAATGTGAACATTTTTCCAGTGGGTACCAAACTGAGACTGTGATTTATTTTTTAAATATATCGAGAGAGTGAATACCAAGCAGCTATCAGACTTCCAACAACTTCAGATCACTAATCAGCTTAAGATCAGATTTAAACTAGTGGCCTAAGATAAAAGAGACTGCCTTGCATTGCATATCCCTTGTACCATCCATCTGTTCCTTGTTTACCACTTTTAAGTCAAAGAATTTTTTTGAAAACTTAATCATATAAAATATAGGTCAGATTACTAAGTTCCAGTATTAAGCAACAGGACTTGGGGCTAGATTGCAGGCATCTGGAACAAGTGGTCAGGTTTCCAAAAGAATCAGTAAGTCCCCATTGTGAAGGTCAGCTCTTTAGAAAATCTGAATTCTCATCCATATTCTTAAATGAATTGGATAATGGACTCTTCTGAAAATCTGGCCCTTTATCTGCTGTTTTTTAATTAATTTACTCTAGTGTTGCAAACATAGCACTGCAGTTAACATGAATTATTGATACTGCTGAAATTATTTCTGAGCATGGGAGGTTCATTCTTCTTGAACACCTTTTTAAAGTAAGTGGATTCTCATGTGCTGTCATAGAGCTGTAACATAAACAGCCCCAGGAGTGCATCACTAGCTATGACAAATATCCCAGATGATAATGGTCAAGCAACTGACTGAAGAAGCTTTTAGGGGATGGGGGAGGGAGGACACATTAGAACTATAAGACACTTCATACTCTGGGGGAATCGAGGTGGATTGTCGTTGACATCAGTCAGTGTGATGTTCACTGTGGTGGTCCCTGATAATCCTCCCATTTGGCCTCCCATGTCCTTGGCCTGGATTACCACTTGGTACTGCTCCCTGTTTTCTCTGCTCATGTCTGGCAAAGCAGTTTTGATTATGCCTGGAAGAGAAGAATAAAAAAGAGAGGGTGGAGGGAGAGAGGAAAATGCACATACATTAACTTTAATTCCTGTATGTTTCAAATGAATTTATATAAAATATAAACCATTGTTACTCCTAAGCAACCAAATACTTTTCAAAGTACATTGACATATATTCTCAGAGTGAAAAATAGCAATGTTATAATTCAGTATTTGAAATATGCTAAATCAGTTTATCCTTTTGATGACAAAAGTTACATATGCTGCATTAACAAAAGCTTTTCAGCTAGCCTCGCTATTATTTTGATAAGGCCAGAGCTTTGCAACCTCCAGCTTTGGGATGATCTCTGTATTGTGGTACATTTTCATTAACAGGGCAGACATTGGTGATGTCCTGGATTTACTTTTTCAAATTTTAACAGAGTCATAGATTTTTAGGGCCACTTTGACCTCCTAGATATCAGAGGTTGTATGAATTCCATGAATTAATTCCTGCTTCATGTGTAATTGCTCCAGGGGTTAAACTGGAGTAGTTCCTTTTAGAAAATTATCTAAGCCTGAGTTAAAAACCACCAAGAAAAATCCACCATAACCCTTTGCATGTTGTTGTAATGATTAATTAACCTTGCAGGTCTTTGGTTTTTGCTTTGCTTTGTTTTATTTGCCTTATTTCTTATGTGACTTTGTCTGGCTTCCAATTTGCAGCCATCAGAAATTGTTATAGGTTTGTCTGAGAGATTGGAGAGCTCCCCATATTATATGTTTTGCTTTTGGGTACTTGTAGAAGAGACCAAGCCACCTCTTAACCTTTTCTTTAACAAGTTAAACAAATGGCAGTCATAGTCTTTCCTATAAAGTATGTTTTCTCAATGTGTTTTTATTCTTGAGACACTTCTCTGAATCCTCTCCAGCTTATCAACATCTTCCTTGAACTGTAAACATTGAGTTGGACCTAGTATTCTGGGAATGGTTGCAGTTGTGCCAACTGCTCAGCTATCTTCTTGGCGAAAATGTATATTTTTTAGCAATTCTTTGAGAAAAGATTGTTGCAGTTATCTGTCATATCATATTACTGGTTTTTAAAGATGGAGAGTTCTGATTAAAGCTTAATGGATACCTGTGTGTGTTCTTGGTTTTGGTCAGATTTTAACAATAGATGAATAATTTAATTAAGTTTAAAAAAAAACTGGAAACAAATAGTGGACTGTCCTATTTCTCCAGCTATTAAGCTAGGGCAAGAAGGGTTGCTGACCTGTCTCTGGGTCCACAGAGAAATATGGCTGTCCCTGGAGGATACTGTACACAACTTTGGCACTGTTTCCATAGTTTGCATCATCAGCATCTGTTGCTGTCACTTGGATAACAGAAGTACCTACAAAGGTACAAAACAAAGAATCCATCATATAAAATGAGTTAATTAATGATTATGGCCCATATATATATATTATATATATATATATATATATATACACACATACACACACATATATACATATATAAGTACTTTATTCTTCTCTTGAGAATAAAGAACAAGATATTAGATTATCCCATGCACATTAAAAATAATACCATAAACTACGAACATCAGACTAATCCATTGTTACCTGTTACCAACAAAAATAATCCTTCCTTCATGCAAAACTGGAATAATATGAAAACCAAATCACACATCATTAAAATAAAAACATATTCCTTAACCTACTCTTCAGGGAAAAAAGAAATACTAAGTAAGATGTAGACTAAGACTTCATATGTTGGCTGTTCTCTGCCTCAGCTATCAAATGGAGCATCTCACTCTATTTCAAGTGTTTTAGTAACTTGGAAAAAACTTAACTTTTCAGGCTGAAGAGAATGTTTAATTCACCTGTAATAAATGTTTTATTTCATTTTCAGGAGCTTTTCCCTCTTTAATAATTACTTTTAAATCAAGATTAAATGTCTTGATTTTTTGTAGACCAAAACTGCCCAGTCTAGAATGTGATAGACATTTTATCAATCAAAAACTCCATTTTTCAGCATGAAGAATTTTCCCAGGTAGTCAAAATGACAGGACCATCTATGAGACGTACAATTGTATCATAGAGTGTTATACAATCAAAGGCAATTCACTGGATCTAGATTTAGAATTAGAAGCTTGTGAAGCCCAAGTATGAAATACTCCCTGTGAGAAGCACTGCTAAGGGGCACTGATGTTTTGCATTAATTGAAGTTTCTAAATAGTCTCCAAGACTACAAAGTTCATTTTGGTAATGAAATATGGAGTGCATCAATGTAGTGAAGACAAAATTAAGAAGTTGAAAGGTAAAAGAAAAGGAAAAAAAAGCAACCTGTCCAAGTACAGATGTGGTGATGAGGGAAAAGCTCTTTGGCTATTGTTTCTACTTGGGATACCCAAAAAGTATTGGCATACAACATTCACTGAAAGCTTAACAACACCCAAACAATTTACTTTTGTTGTTTTCTTCATGATCTAGATTAGCTACTTTAAAGTAACTTTCAGCCAGGCACCAGGCTTGACAAATTACTGTGAAAATGATTGTCCACATTATCAGAGATTGATGTAATAGAGGTGTTATATCCTCAAGGGTTTTCCAAATATATCAAGCAAAGCTGATGACCCAGAAGAATTATTTTTCCCCCAAGGTTGCAAAGATATCACCACATAAGCCACTATTGTATCCTTTTAAATGTAAACCTGCCTGCCCTATGACCTGGCAATAATACATAGTGGTTAGGTTTCAGTGGTGGTAGAGCAGATGATGAGAAATATTTCTCTCTACCACAAAACCATGGTATAAAATTAAAAATTGTTGGGTTTTTTAATATCAAAATCAGTTAAAACTAAGGAGGATTTTTGACCACTGATGCTGTAGATTTCTATTTCCCTGCTTAATATGTCAAAGGTTTTCTGCTCACGAAGGGGAACTGTGAAAATACTGCAAAGGAAAGAAACATTTAAGGACAGACATTACAATAGTCAAGAAAGAAGGTAGGTATTATACCTAACAAGGATGCTGCTCAGGTTGTCTACAAAGTCAACAGTTATTCTTCCATAGATTCTGCCACAGAGAAGCACTAATACAATAAAGCATTGGTCTCCACAGGAGATAAAGGTTAAAAAATAGTATTTTAACTGCACTTTCTCCACCTCCTATGTAAAATATAAATTCCAGGTCTTTGTTCAGTACACGTTCCTGTGCTGCTAGTCATAGTAGCATCTAGGAGCTCAGGAGGAATGGCAGGAAACCTTTTCACTAGGAACAAGTTGTCAAATCCAGATGGGGTTAACTTGCTGTCATAAACTGTGACCATATATTTACCTTGTTTAACTGTTTTGCCTGTTTGGAGACAGTTTTGGTGAACAGCTTAAAAATTATTATTTTCACAGGGAACATATTCCAGAGTTGAGGGCTGTTTAGAAGGCTCTATCCATTATCTTTCTTGAGAGGTTAATATCATTAATCATAGCATGCCAAACCATCTCATCTGAAGGAGGTTGTAGAAGTAGCTGTAACCAAATTCCAGTAGGATCTATAGATCAACAGTGCTTAACCCCTAGCTTGAGGACCTAGTCTGGCCTGTAGAGCTATGTTATCTGGCCTGCCAGTCCCCTTTGGTCTGAAAATTTGTCAGCAGGGGAGCAGTGGCAGATGCACAGGGCCTGGTTACAGGCATTGACCATGCTAGAGAACCAGCTCATGGACCAGCCCATACCCACTCATCCAGCCCACAGAGCCAAAAGGTTAAGCACCGCTGGTGTAGGCCAATATCAGAGCCTTGAAGTGGGTGTGACAAAGAATAGGGTTCCCATGTAGTTTGTGACAGACTAATGAAACATGTTTTCTTTGAGTTGAATTTTAGGCAGGAGGGATTTTATTTTTGGTAGAAAGACTTGAGCAACAGTTTCACAAAATGAATGCAAGTCATCAGTTCCTGCATTCTAGTGAACTAATCATGTAATTAGGAAAAGTAAATTATAACAGTCCAGGCTTAAGAAGACAAGTGGGTGGACTACAGCACCTCTGTTAGCAGAAGTTGCTATATATTGTAAGAGTCAATCAAACCAAATGGAAAAAAGGCAGTGGTTTACACAGCTTCTACTATGTTTCTGTCACTGAAAGACTTGTGTCCTTGGTTATACCAACGGAAGCCAGTAATACATGGAGTGATTCAAACTATGGCTGTGCAAAGCTTCAGGTCTGATTCAATTCAGACGAGATTTGGCCTGATTTGGCAGCCAAATCTCTGAATCTGAATTGAATAAGGAGACCAATAAAAAGGTCTGAATCAATTTGAAGCCCCCAAATCAGTTCAGGGAAGATTTGAAGAAAGATTCAGAGATTGGGTGATACAGGCAGTCCCTGCTCACTGCCATAGGGAGCTGGACCCAGGCTCTGTACCAGTAAGTAGGGGATGGGGGGTGGTAGGATGAGGGGGGAGGGGACCATACGGAGACCTCCGCCAGGCCCCATCCCCTGCCTGATCCCCCAGCCCCAAGAACACCCTCCAAGCCCCACCTGCTCTCCCAGCCCTGTCAATGGCTGCCCCACCCAGCCCAAGCATCATGACTCTTTAAAAAACAAAATAAAAAACCCACACTCTCTGGATGCTGACAGGCAAGGGGGTGATCCCTGATGCTGCCCACTGCTCCACGCTGCATGGGGCACTCTTCTACAAACCCCCACCCTCCTCCCGCTCTCCAAGTCCTGTCAATGGAAGCCCCATCTGGCCTTAGGGTCCCAGCTCTTTAAAAAAAAAGCAAAAAAGCCCTGCACTCCTGCCAGGCAGAGCTGAATCAAATCACTGTCCCCTGAATTGGCCGAATCTGATTCTGAAGTGAATACTAGCTGCTTCGTACAGGCCTAATTCAAACCCTTGTCCAGTGCTGTGTTGAGATAGAGACAATATGGGGCACTTCCATGGCTGTTACTTTGGACATAGATAAGGTCACCTTCGCCAGGAACTTTTAAGTGCTGAGGAGAGGCCTGTAGAAGATTACTGTTCCTTTTTAACCCTTTCTTTAGGGGGTAAAATTACTGATTAAAGCAAAAGACAGTAAATCTAGGGACTGGGAGTTTACTGTAAAGATGGATATTGGAATAGAGGACCAGTAGAAAGGTGATTTATTAGGGGAATATGTGTGAAACACAATAGTGAATTTGGAAGGAAATAAATCTTGTGAGCTACAACTGTGTGGACTATATATGTGTGTATTGAGGTGAGATGAAGGTAATAAAGAAAGGCTATGGGAAAGACTAGAAAATGATGTGTATGGCTCAGGGGAAGTGGGGGAAGTGAAGGGAGGTAGGGGGCCACTTAATTGGGTAGGAAGGAAATGATAGTGATAGGTGTCATCCTGCTGGAGTCCTACCAAAACTGGCTTCACTATAAATGGTTTCAGAGTGCCATAGGACTAGACCTGGAAAAACATTTCAAATTTGAGCACTTTTCTAGATTAGTTTTAAAATCTGTTGCGCCCAAGATATGTCTGGTTTCAGTATCAGATACTCTAGTGCACTGTAGTTGGGGGTGAAGGGGACAGCAATGAAATATATATTGTGTGCACACTGCTATGTTACTATATCCCAGCTGCTAGTTTAGAAACACAGAGGACATGAATATAAGTACCAATCCTTCTTTCCTAATTTGGCTCCTTTAGTTAGCATGCATCATCAAAATTTGCTTTTATATGTCCACTTCCATTTGGGAATGCCATCTTCTAGTAACCTTCATTGTTACTTTTGACTAAGTCAATAACTCCAAAACACATAGTAAATGCTGAAAGTGAATCCATTCTAGATAGCTTATGCTCAGTTCAGGGTGCTTCTAACAATCAGAGCACCATCTTAGGTTATAATGCTGACAAATCTCCCATTTTTCTCTGAGAAATTATATATAGTCATGATACCAAAATGTTTCATTTCCTTTCTTCCCAAATAAATGTCAACATTGACACTTTCCCTTAGAAAGGCTTGATTTTGATAAAATACTATTTTCCTATTTAAAATGTACAGAAATATGTACTAGTTTTTGTGATCAGCTCTACTGAAAAGGTTGCTACTTTTCAGCCTCAGAGGGCTAGTTCATCAGAAAACTATCTGCAGTGAATTTTAGGCAGAAGGGACTTTGTCTTTGGTAGAAAGACTTGAGCACGAGTTGAAACAGACCAACAAAATGACACAGACCAAATAAGGTTTATTGTGGAGTGAATTTGTTGTTGGACCCATAATTTTCAAAAACATACTTCCTATGAAGGGTTTAAACTGGAAGATCAGAGCTCCTATAAAAATGCAAATTTGAGAGGGTTGGGAAGAGCAACACTAGGGGCTTTAGCCACTAATTGCATGTTCTAGGCAGCCAATATGCACATGA